TTAAAACGTGATATCAGACAATAGGATATAACATATAGCAAAAATGTGAAATAGTGCTATTTTTTCGACTTTAGAACGGGCAGCTAAAATATCGATATTTGAGATATTCAATATGGTCACTACACGACAGAATACTTTTGAACTTCATCTCCGTGGGTACACTCAAATATGTTCCCTTGTTAGTAATACTAATTTATAGTTATGTTAGATATGATTTAAACAATAATATTGATTATCATTGTTTTGATTGTGATATCCAGAAAAGAATGAAAGAGTTGGTGTAAAGTTCATAATTTTCTTTCTATTGAATGTCTTTTCGAGTATAGCTTGTAAAATTTATAGGGAGTCGAAAAATACATCAGTCGGTATAATTATTACAGTGATCAATTTGAGACTAACATCTTTTTATATATTTGATTGAGATAACAGAGGAAATAGAAAATATAGAAAACTGAAGATGGGATAATGATATGTGAAGAGATTTCGTACAATACATTTGGCTAATATTCTCGGTTTACATAAGTTTGAGATAATATAAAACAGACATATTAAACACTGTCGTTTTTAGAATAATGAAAAATACTGTAGAAGAGTAATGAATGTTGATTGTCTGAGTATCTAATATTGTATTATCTAAATATATAAAAATATAATTTCTAGGATGGTTTTATACTGGCAGTATGAGTGTTGCACGAAATCAACACACAGCATCTGTATTGTCAAATGGAAAAGTATTAGTAACTGGTGGATGGAATGGTAGTAATAATGCTCTGTATAGTGTTGAGTTATATGATCTCTCAACAGGTATTTGGGCAGCTACTGGTAACATGACTAATGCACGATATTTTCACACAGCATCTGTATTACCAAATGGAAAAGTATTAGTTACTGGTGGAGGCAATGATCATGGTTATTTAAATAGTGCTGAGTTGTATGATCCATCAATAGGCATTTGGGCAATTACGGGTAACATGACTAATGCACGATACGGCCACATAGCATCTGTTTTATTAAATGGAAAAGTATTAGTTACTGGTGGATACAATGGTGTTGCTTTAAATAGTGCTGAGCTCTATGATCAATCAACAGGTATTTGGACAGCTACTGGTAACATGGCTAATGCACGACAGTGGCACACAGCATCTGTATTACAAAATGGAAAAGTATTAGTTACTGGTGGATACTATGGTATTAGTACGGTTTTAAATAGTGCTGAACTATATGATCCATCAACAGGTATATGGACAACTACTGGTAGCATGACTAATGTACGATATTTTCACACAGCATCTGTATTATCAAATGGAAAAGTATTAGTTGCTGGTGGAGTCAATGGTAGTATTTCTTTAAATAGTGCTGAGCTCTATGATCCATCAACAGGTATTTGGACAACTGCTAGTAACATGGCTAATGCACGGACTTCTCACACAGCATCTGTATTACCAAATGGAAAAGTATTAGTTACTGGTG